CAGGGCTGCCCTCAGGCACGGCTCCAGCAGCCTCAAGAGCACTAAGACGCTGATCGCGGAGCCTGGCCCTTTTGTTGGGGAGAGGATTGACCCTGCCCTGCCCTTGGAGAGCCAGTGGTGAGTCCTGCCTGCCCCAAGCACTGTCCATCCCCTCTGCCTGCTCCGGGATCCCTATGGCCATGCCACGAGGAGCCTTGGGGCAGATCTGCTTCTTCTCTCCTTCCCTGACCCTGCGTTTCTGCCTGCTTGTCCCTGCCACCCTTCTCGCAGCCGTGGTGTCCCCTTGTGCCCTCTGCATCTCCCTAAGATGCCCAGCAGGAGTTCCGCCCCTTGTCCCCCAACCCTGGCAGTGCCACCCGCATCCCTCTCCTCAAACGTGGCTGCTGTCCCTGGGGAGGTGCCGGTGGTGTTGGGGTTGCTCCTGCCATGGGGCAGAGTCCTGCCCGCGTGTGGGCTCCCTGCCTGACACAGCCGGTCCCTGTCCTGCCTGCAGCTGGTACCACGGGGCCATCAGCCGGACGGATGCAGAGACACTGCTGAGGCTGTGCAAGGAAGCCAGCTACTTGGTGCGCAACAGCGAGACCAGCAAGAACGACTTCTCCCTTTCCTTGAAGTGAGTGAGCCTGGACGGGGCTGGGGGGTGGCGAACCCACAGCAGAGGTGACCCGGTGCCGTGGGTGACCCCTCGCGGGTGGGTGCCCCACACAAATGCGTGCCTGTGCAAATGGGGTGACTCTGAGATGGCCATGGGGTGGGTCAGAAATGTCTGGAATACAAAGTCAGCACTTCTCTGCGGTGTGGCAGTCTTGTGGTTTGGTGTCTGGCAAGAGTATCTCTGGGGAGGGCTTGTAAAGCTGGAGGCACTCTGCTCTTCCCTTGGCAGTAATCCCTCAGACGGATAAAATGATGTGCCTCACTGGTCACTCAGATGTGTCTGGTTCCAGCTCTGGCTTCTTGTTACTCCTTTTTTTGTAGCTTATTTCACGGGAAAATAAAGTTTGTGTGATCCTGTTGTTGATGGAAATGCGGGTACCCGTCCCTGTGTCCCCAGCCCACGTAACTGTTGAAGCTGTTGCTGGACCACACTGTAGAGAGGGCATTACCCTGCTTTGGTTTGCCATCAGGGAGACCTCGCCTCCACAGCACGGCTTGGTTTCTGCTTTGGTTTTTTTGCGGAGATCTTTGCACCATCCCCAAGTTTTCCAGATTCTCTGAGCACCAAAACTGTATGAAGCCTTGCAGTGCACATCCTGCCAGGGAGAAGCTGCCCACAGCTCCTCATCCAGCTCTCCCGTGACTCTTGGGGCAGCCCAAACCCACAGAGTCAAAGCTGTTACTGTCCCGATGATGATGATGGATTAGCAAATACCTTCTTGCCCTCTTGCCGGACAAATGTATTAGCTCTGTTCAGTCATCTCTCTACAACAGGCCACGTATCCCTGTGCTTTTCTCAGTAGACTCTAGGTTTCCCCAGTAGTCTCTGTACCTGCATTGCTCCCTGGTGGTTTCAGCCTCCCCCGTTTATTTCCCAGGGACACAGTTGTGAATTAGATTGCTGCATCTCTCCTTTTTTTTTACATTTTTTTGCTGCTTTCAACACCAAGCCAGGGCAGATCTTCAGCTGAAAATATTCTTTCTTCCTTCTGCACTTGTAGCTTTTACATCAGACAACAAGCCTTTCCAGAAAACCTCCCTCATTTCCCTTTTTTGTCAGAATTTTTACTGATGTTTTTATTTTCTCAATTTTTTTCCTTGCCCTGGCTTGCAGCAGCTTCTGTTGCTCAATGAGCCATATTCAAGGCTGCAAGAAGTCCTCTCAGCCATCTCCTTATGGGGGGCATTAGCCGGCATGTGTATTGGACAGCCTGGGACGTGGTGGGGTCGTGGATGGGGCTTCTCCCCTCCCCAGCACAGGTGTCCCTTTTTATTACCTCTCTACAGTCATTCACCCATTTCTTCGGGTTTTTTGCCTGACTTCTTACTGCCCATCCTTAGCTTCCTGGCAAAAATGCCCCAATCCTCTTCTCAAACAGCCTGTGCAGCTGGGACATGGCCTTGCAGCAGCGTGCCACCTCCCCAGAGAGGGCTACAGCCCATCCAGGAGCTGCTGGGGCATTGCCTGCCCACCATTCCTCTCTTGCAGAGAGCCCACAGCCTCAGGAATGAGATTTTTACTCCGTTGCCTTTCTCTGTAGAGCTTTTTCAAGGAAAATCCCCTGGGATGCTTTTTATAAAGCCATAAGCTGTCTGTCTGCGTCTCTCTCTATTTTTTCTTGAACTCTTTGTTTTTTTCCTTGAAGAAGGAGGCACAGCCGAAAGAGCGCTCCAGTGCTGACCTAAAGCCCTTTCATGCTGCTTTAAAGGAAAATATGCACAAGAGAGAGCAGCAGGAGGCTGTACCCATAGCGTGTCAGGTATTTAACCCTGCTGTGACCGTCCTGGGCAGCCCCACAGTACCTGTCATGGACAGAGATTTAGTGTCGTTGCCTCAAATGCTGGGAATGAGTCCCTTCTGGCTTGTGCCTCCGTGACAGTGACTGAGGCCATGCTGCAAAGGTTTGGGTCCTTCCTCATGTCTGTAAGGTGCTTGGCAGGAGCAGCACCTGCCCCTTGTCCCGTCCCTGTTGCTGGCTGCGAGGCTGTCGGGTTTGCAGCGTGCTCCCTTGGGCATCTCTCCGTGCATCCAGTCTTGGTCACATCCCTGAGCTTGTGACAGAACAGAGGAGCGATTTGGGCAAAATACAACCAGCATCACCTGTCAGTGGACCCACATGGCAGTGCTCTAGCTCTGGTCCTGCACTGATCCTGCACCGGGGGTCCTGCGCATCTCTCCCCTGCCAGCGCCAGGCAGGGGCTGGGTCCGTCTGCAGACAGGGTGCAGCACCAAGGGCAGCACCCGTGGGCAGCTCTGTGTGTTAGCGGTGTGACCGTGGGGGTCTGTGCAGGATAAAACCCTGCACCTTCATCAGGGGCCGTGCACAGTGCAGCCCATGCAGCACCCCGC